ACCAAGCAATCGGGGATGACATTCCGATCAGGATAACGTGGTCTTACGGAGAAGAGGTACACGGGCCCTTAAGCATGTGCTTAGTAATCTGCTGCCATAACAACACTTCTCATACTTTGACAAATGTATTGTTTATTTTTGTTTACCTGTTTTCGAATTTTAGCGATGTTACCACTCTAATAAACAAGGCAGATTATTTTGGATGTAAAGCCTTTACATCATCTATTAGAATCCAATTAAAACTGTTACAAAAAAGGTTCATCCGTTCGTTCATGTCTCCTTAGATCAAGATTAATATAAAGTTCCTAAATTAAATTAAATTAAGTTCTTCCATCGCCCGATGGCTGCGATGGCCGTCTCATTTACAAGGGCTAGGACTTCGTCTGTGCTGATATATCCATAGAGACGTTATTTGTTATACATGTACCATAATGTGATATCAAATGGGAATACTGTTATTACTACTACTACTACTACTACTACTACTACTACTACTACTACTACTACTACTACTACTACTATACTTCTACTGCCACTGGCGTACTGATAGGGGGAGGGGCTTGGGGGGGGGGGGGGGGCTTGTTCTCACCTTATTATGCCACCTGGTGGTGATGCATATTTTTTTCTGCCCCGCCCCCAAAAAATAGCTTTGGCTCATTACGCTACTGACTACTACTACTATAATATCTCTTCTAAACATCTTTTCATTATATTAAGGGCCTACTAAACAAAACATCTTGACAGATTCGGTGGTTATTTCAATGAGGGGAGAGACTGCAAGGGAGTTAATGAGAAAGTGAGGGGGAATGAGAAATGTGAAGAAGGGATAGAGAGGGGTGAGGGTGAGAGAGAAAACGGGGAGGAGAGAGGAAGAAAGGGGAGGAAAGGGGGGAGAAAGGGAAGGAAGGGACAGAGAAAGGGTGTGAGAAGGGAGAAAGGGGAGAGAGAAAGGGAAAGAGATGGAAAGAGAAGGAGGAAAGAGGGCAAGAGAAAGGGGATAGAGGGCAAGAGAAAGGGGATAGATAGAGAGAGAAAGTGAAGTGGAGAATGAGAGTGTAAGCGAATCAGAGAGAATCGTTGCATGAGAGAGGGGGTATGTTGTTTCACCGAAAGTTGGTTTCCTCTCGATTAGATTATGTCAAGGGAAATACATATTTATAGAATCAAATCATTAAAGAGTTGAGGTAAGACAGAAAGTTCTTAACCGAATGACTTTCAATATTCGCTGTTCAGAGGAATCAGCGGTGGAAATAAACAAAATTGAATTGGGAAATACAGCTAAATGACTTGATGTTAAACCTTCGATTTAACACGACAAGTCTAATATCTGTTAGAAGTTCATTTCGCAGATAATTGTAACACTTTCTGGCAGTAGCAAGGGTTGTCATGGGAATCTGATGGCAAAAAAAAGTGGTGTAAAAATGTGAGTGGGTACAAGGATAGTTGATCTACTTATACAGCCTAGTTTAAGCTCGGGTTAGGGTCAGGTAAATGATTGGGAATATAATTATTTATGGAAAATTCGGATGCGCCTGGTCATAAAGCGATGAGGTGATAGTACTTTCTAAAGACAGCTTTGAAGAAGTAGCCGTTCTGAATTAAAAGGTGCAAACAATTATTAAAACAGTGAAATCAAAACGATATATATTTCACATTGTATAAAAAGTTTTATATATCTCTTTGATGTTGAAAAAATGAGTATATACAATTATCAGATAAACGAGCAATTATATTTCATGTTTGCAATTATTCGCAATTATTTAGCAGGCGTTAAGACTGACAATGTTGGTTTCTCTCTGCCTCTCTCTCTCTCTCTCTCTCTGCCTCTCTCTCTCTCTCTATCATTCTCTCTCATTTTCTCTTTCTCTCTCTCTCTCTCTCTCTTTCTCTCTCTCTCTCTCTCTCTCTCCCTATCTCTCTCTATTATTCTCTCTCATTTTCTCTATCTCTCTATATCTGTGTGTGTATCTCTCTCCACTTGACGAGACGTTAGGTGACGTCACACATTCTTGGTTCACCTGCTTGCCGACCTGAGTGACACTTCCGTAAATTGGTCTCCATGTCTAGGGTGCGATCAGATTGCTGAGCGGGAAACACGAGATATGCTTAATCTATTACCATCGCGACCCAGGGAAACCTCGGAGGTACGTTATCAATACCGATGTGGTTCATTCAATCTAAGAGATGAGGGTTCGATTCCCAACGCGGTACTAATGTCCTTTGGCAAGACGTTAATCCATATTTGTCACTCTCCATCCAGGTGTAAATGGGCACCTGGCATTGCTGGGGAAGCAAAGGTAACTTATTGCTTCCTGTGCTTGCATTATTACATAATCACTAATACTGATATTGGTATTCTTAGAAAAAGTTTTCAAAAGTGTCCCCAAAAGTTATATAAAGGGGACTTACTGAGCCTTTTCTCCTACACTATATCACATTGTACATGAATAATTAGAAGTATAAACAAAACAAAATTTTCGGATATGTGTTGCAACTGATGGCACGAGGTAACAATAAAAAGCGTCAGGAAAATAAACACAACATCATAAAAAACATCTAGAAACCTCAAATGACGCCATGATTTCGTGAGATCACATCAGACCCTGAAACTTATGAAATCAAATGCGTGTCGCGTCTTGTGTTTTTATTCAAGTTATTTGTCTGTCCTAGTAAAATGCCAAAGGTCGCCCTTGTATGGGGGCTAAGCGAACCCCACATCGGTTATTTCGTCCCTACCAATAAAGGGACAATAACGTGATATCACTGACCGTAATTGGCGATTGCAGAGGTGCGAGTGATTCGATCAACATTGATCAAATTGAGATGAATTACTTGGAACAGGTGATAAAGAAAAGGGGGACAATTTTTGTTTTGGTCAAAAACAACAGCCAAGAAGCCACACATTGCTGGATGCGAGAAGAAAAAGCCAAGAAGAAAAAATAAAATAATTGGAGGTTATAGATAAAGCTGTCTTCCATTTTGGGGTCGAGATTTTGATTCAAAGCGGCATCTTGGCTGGGAAGAAATTAGAGAATGGGGGCAGTGATGATATTGGTGCCCTTCTTTGGAATCATAATTAAGTGGAGGGAAAGAAAGGTTCGGGTGGGAAGGAAGACAAGGATGATATAAATGACCTCGTTCTCAGATGATTTTTTTTTTCTTCAGATCTTCTTTTGTTTTCGTTTCATCGCCATCAATTTTCATCTCTTTCCTCACAGGAAGCGATTCTCGGATTACTTTCGTTATTCCCTTTTTTAAAAATCTTTTTATAAATGTCATATCCGCGGGTAATACAGCATGATCTCGTTGTGCCATGGCAATCCTCCTATTTCTATATTATTTTTTATTCATCTTTATCTCCTTCTTTTCTCTACTTCTCTATTACTATCAGATAAAACTAAGAAACGAAAGATCAAATTTGCACCTTAATTATCGGTACAATCATGGACCTATCCATGGTACAATAGAGGCAACCCCTACACTAAGATGCAGAGGGTGTCGAAGGGTGCACAACTCAACCTCAAGAGGTGCAAAATGATCATTATCATTGAATGATGCAAATTTGATAAATTATTGTTTATTAGCGTTCGTGTCTTCTTCTACTCCTAACATTGCTAATTTAGCAATACTATCGAATGCCTTACCCCGGAGGCACATTCTGCATGATGCTTATTATATCAGTTTCATCTAGGAAACGATAATAATGTTTTCCTTCATAGTGTAATACTCAAATTGACCAGTTAGGACTAATTTGAAATTTGAATTTGAAAATCTCGTTCATATATTTTACTGTCGGTTTTAGATATTAAGAATAAGCTGGGATGCTAAGAAGAGCTACACTTGAACTAGGTTGGAAGAGGCGGTTGAGGTTTCAGGCCAGATGCAATCTATGGAATGTTCCTCCTGCTTGTAGTGGAACGCCACGGAACAGGTGGGAATGTGGAATGTCGGAACAATTTTCAAAATCTATGAATCATTCGGATATTCTTACATTCGTGTCATAAATCTGCAATATGTTTCGTGGTTTTTTCCTTATTGGTCTGTATGGTTGGGATAAAATTGTCAGTTTTTGTCTGTGTTATGCTCGCTCCCCGTCTATACATAAAACACAAATTAAATTCCTTTCTTAACAAAATATATTGCCTCTTTCGTAATTGTAGGTGTATTTCAGGTTCGATTGAGTTGCTTATCGTTGGATGTTAATGAATATTACACGTTAATTTTGAAGAAACTGGTAAAATATCATGATTATTATTAAATTCAAGATAGAAATGTATAAAGGGATGGTATTGTTACGGGTGCCAGGAACCCAAGTGACAGTCAGGTCGTTTCATAATGCGTATAGAGAGAAATGGCATTTTGAATGATTCAGAAGAAAGTACCATGGCAAACGAACCAATCAATAAGCACTGCGAGGGCGTCAGAACATTTGCGTCAATACATCAGAGGGGTATATTATTTTGAACGAAAGTTTAGACAAATATCGCGGCTACAATAACTTTTTCGACAAGTGGTATGCGAAGGAATGCGACGAATGAGGAAAAAGGATTGCTATTTTGAGTTAATCTTTAGCGACGAGTCGAAGTGCAACATCGTTTTTCCACGAGGAGTGCTTGCTTTTGTCAATTCTGTTTTGATGCAAGTATAACCTGGATGAAAATAATTTTCTCTTCGACCTTCCTCTATATTACCCGTTCTTTGTCTCCCTTTCATCATCATCACAACCATCCTCATCACTATCATCTTCATCATCATCATCACTATCATCTTCATCACCATCATCACTATCATCCTCACCACTATCATCTTCATCGTCAACGGCACCGTCATCAGAAGATGCCACAACCGCTTCACTTATTCGAACATGCAAAATTCAATAATTATTGTGGACATGGTGTCGGTCTCGTAGATATAACTGTGTGTAACTCCACTGATACCTCAGTCACGCAGCCTTATGTGGATATAATGTGGATATTTATAAGAAAGATGGAATGACTTACGGGTCGGCATTCGCAGACGACGCACACCATTTCTCCAAATGGTTCACCAAGGTTCGGATGCCACTCATCTTCAAGATTGTAGAAGTCCGCTCCGAAGGTACAACCTGAACAGATAATCACACAATAGTTACAGTTATTGCACATAATTTCACACTCAATAGATTCAATAGGAACAAATATTACACGGTAACGTGAATAAAACAATAGTAATATATTAGTCGAATGATTGATTAACTACTAACCAACTGGTTATTTGACTGATTGATTTATGAATGAATTTATTGATCAATGGTTTGACTGATTTATTGCTGATTGGATGAATTATTGTTCGATTAATGATTTATCAATTCATTGTTTGATTACAAACGGATGGTTTAATGAGTGCAAGGATTTATCGATAGATAAATCAAAATATCTTAAAGCTCTATTGGTGCGTTCACATAAACTATAGTGCACAAAAGTATTGACCAGTACATTGTCAGTTTAGACCAACTTGAATTGATGACGTTGATGCAACCAACAAACCACAGGAATACGAAGGAAGTTATAAATCAGTCTGCCGGATAATTACAGTCTAAATGAAATATGTACTCGGCCTACATGTTCATACATCATGTAATCTACAAGCAAGCGTCTGAGACATTAACAAATTTGCTTTCCCGCTATTTACAAGTAATAAAAAATTCCAAAAGTGCATGCTTAGGCGTGTTGTTGCAATGTATATTGCTCAGCCTTGTATCGGATGATGCCAGCGATTTCATCTTTATCGCGATCTCAGCTTCCTCCATCTTCTTGACGCCACACAAAGTCCATTCACTCCTCTCTCCCCCTCCTTCTCTCTCTCTCTCTATCTCTCTCTCTCTCTCTATCTCTCTCTCTCTCTATCTCTCTATCTATATCTCTCTCTCTCCTCCTCCTCCTCCTCCTCCCTCACAACAATACTTCCCAATGAAAAATTACAAAGCGCGCAAAACAATTGAAATGAATTATAGTTAAAGATTAGACAAGGGACGGATGGGTGATGGGGAAAAAGGTACCGTCTGCTCAAGATTTTTGTCATACGTTTTTTGCGCGCTTTGGCTCCAGCGTGCTCAGTTGTCGTCTGTCTTCCAGAAAAAAAGTGGATTCACACTGAAGATATAATTATGACGGGCATGACAAGGGTGACATTTATGACGATGTGGACAACCCTACTCCAATGCAGCATATACATGCATATTCTTCTACAAGTGTATTGTGTTCACCTTCTGCGCTAAGGGCAAGGAGAAGATGGGGGCGCACATAACTAATCAAGTTCAAGCGACAGAATTTGCGCTGTGGGAACGAAGTAGTAAGCCCTCTCGAGAAAGACATGAGTCGTATATATTGTGATTGCTGCTATGAAGGAACGTCAATTAATACTCATATTTCCGCCGTCTTTTAGACTAGCTGCTTCTGATCTTGTTGTCATTAAGTCTCTAAAAATTGATTTTTTTTTTTTTTTTGTCAACTCATGTGATTAAAATAACTTCCACACATGATTCAATGTAGCTTAAAATAACAGCATAATATAATATCAATCTATTAAGCACAATCATAACGCGACTAATCCAATGACTTACAGGGTAAATTGAGTATTGTATACTGGCACGCAGAGGAAAACAATTCATATTGTGTCATTGTGGTTTATGTAGATAATTGTGTTTATTTGACAAATGTGATAAATTACACTGGATTCAATTTATCAATATACAGCACTTTAAACAGCTGTTTTTGAATGACATGTAGGCCTACACACAGAAATTGTTGTGGTTATATACATTAATGCTTAAATTTAGCTCAGGTCATAGACGAGTTAGGTGAGACAGGGAACCCAGACAGGGCTGCTCAGTCCCACTCGTGACAAAGCATGTTATGTTATGTTGAGAGAGGCTGAAATATGGTCCCTATTAGAGCGGGTTCTAAGCCAGGAGAGCTAGACGTCGGGGTTAATGTACTTTCAGCAGCGACGCGCGTCTTCCCAAGATAGTCTAGCATCCAGCGTCGACAATATTTTTTCTTTTTCCATCTTGTCTCCATTAATTACGCGGTGGCCGTGACCCGTTAGGAACATGTACATGTACTTTATTCTTTCCAAACCCATTTCTTGAAGTAATAAATTGGCAAACATGGATGGATATCTAGTTTGTCTGGAAGAAAGTATAGTGTGCGCGTGAAGAACGGTATCTTGGAGAGGGGCTCTAAAAAAGTTTGACTGAACGATAGAGAGAAGGGGAGAGTTTCCCAACTCTGATACTATCCTTAAACTTATCATTACATTCCCTAATACCGCAGTATCAACCTCGCAGTTACACCACCACCACCACCACCACCACCACCACCACCAACACCATCATCATCATCATCATCATCATCATCATCATCATCATCGTATCAGCTGCTGTTCTTTCTTTCCCCGTGGACAATGATGGAGTAAGAAATTAGCTGAATCATTGTCTCACTCACCATGCCCCGACGATAACCTGCGACAAACGAAACTCTCATTTTTGTATCTTCACAAGTTCAACGAATTAAGCACCAGCCTATCGATTAACAGAACTCCTTCCTCCTCTCAAACCCTCTCTCAGTCTTCAAAAGATAACATCGATCTTCATCAGCAAACTATGGCTGGGGCAATTACACTGCGACGAAACGAGGTAAAGAGAGACAGTAATTACCCAATAAATTGGGCCATTTGAGGACATTTTCTTCGTTGTTCGTCTCGGGAAGAAAGAAATCATATTTTTAAGCAATGACTTTTCGAGACCTTCTGACGAGTCAGCTTGGAACATTTCGGTATTGCTATGAATTATGGGTAACGAACGACGCACACGCGCGTAAGAGGGTTGGTGAGAAATTGTGGCATGGGTGACTGTCGCCTGTGATATGAATGGTTGGGAGACGGATAGCCAGGCAGACTTGGTATGTCCATGGGCTTATTGGGGTTTGGTTATGGATGATGGGGAGATGGAGTGGGGTGGATGCAGAGAGGGATGTAGACCTAAAGATTAGAAAGGAGACATTCTAGGGATAGAGAGAGATATGAATATACCGGATAGACTGAGAGAGAAAAAATACAAATTATGTTGGTAGTAGAAAAGAGCGAGGGAGAGAAGAGCAAGAAAGAAGAGAACGTGGAAGTATTATCATGATTATGATGGTGAAGGGTGAGAGAGGAATAAGTAAGTGTAAAAAATGGAGAACAATGAGATAGGGAAAATAGAATATTACAAGCGCCGTGTGGTCTATCAAAAAATGTCAGTAACAGAGACAGGAAAACAATCTATGATAAAAACATACTCAACGATAGCAAAATAGAGAAAGGGAGAAAAATGATTTGTTTCTCCATCTGACAGCTGTTTATTATGCTTCCCAACGTAAGTCAGAATCGCTACCGACAAAAGGGTTGAGTCATTCAGAGGGTAAGCCGATGTCTAGGCGACAATACAATTAAGAACCCTAACCATCCCAAAGCCTCCGAAAAATTGTAATTTTAGTCTGAATTTGACTTTAATAGGTCCCTCCAAAGACACGAAAGCGCTCGGCGATAATCGCCAATTAGCCCATTTACCCTATCCGTTATTGGTGGTAGCTTCTCCTCGGAGCCAGATTGCGGGAGGGGTAATAGAAGGGTGGGGAGTAGCACTGCTAAGGAATCTCGTTGGAGACATTTGTTTCTATACTGTTTATGACAATGATTAGGAGGAGGCGGAGGAGGAGGAAAATGGTGGTGGTGATGATGATGATGATGGTCAAGATGATGATGATGATTATAATGATGATGGGTAGTGGTGATTATTAAAGGGGGACGAGCAAAAGATGAGGTGATGTTGATAATGATAATAATAATAGCTTCTTCACAGTAACAAATTACCATGAAATCCTGTACAATCTCAAAAATAAAACATTAGCTGATATTATTATTCTGATCCCCAAGCACATTAAACGCCTCCAGATCTACGTCTCCCTCCGATGGGGAGTCGAAGAGACGGCTAGAGACATCTATCTGACCTAATTTTGGCGAACATTTTCGTCTCGCATTTCATTCAGTATTGGGATAAGTGGGATGCCACAACGATTAGAGTAAGACCGTTGGCGTGGCGTCCTTATGAGAGACAAACAAAGGGGGAGGGTAAGGGGCACTTTACCCCTTCTAAATCCACAAAAAACTAATACCATTGTAACTCTCAGAATCTCCTCACATTCTGCAGATTATAGATTATGTTTATATATGTAAATTAATTAGTTTTGTTAATTAAACATATCCATACTGTAGATCCCCTTTTTATCTCCCCCATACCTCTCTCTCTCTCCCTCTTACTTACCCCTCTTTTATTCATAATGTCATGAATACTGTACCCTTGTTTGAGTCGTTTCAGTATCTCTCATTTTTAGACATAAAGTCTGAAAGTATTGATTAACTTTTAGGTAAAATAACATGAGTGCGATGTCTATAAATACATTGCTCTGAGCATATTGTCGTTGAAATATATCTGATATGACGAGTTCATGGCGCGTGCCTTCCTGTCTAACCTCTCTAAATATCTAACTCCTGACATCATTACTAAGGACACGAACTTTTGGAGGAATCCTTTTCTCCTAACATCGGACCCCACTCCCCATCCTCCTCCTCCTCCTCGCATCCTCTCTTAACCCCGTCAATATGCTTACATCAAAAGCCCAAGCGCTCTTCCCGAGGTCAACGTGTTAATATAAGGTCAACGTTAACGCAGCCTCCTTTCCTCTTGAACTAATAGATTATCGTCGCGACTAAAATCAATACCTAGTCCCTATTCCTCCCAATCCTCTCCCCCTCCCTCTCTCTCTCTCTCTCTCTCTCTCTCTCTCTCTTTTCCTCTTTCTCTCTCTCCCAAACACCACCACAAATCAGATGTTGCCTTCGGATGCTGATCAGTCAACATTTTGTCGCATCCAAGCCCAGTCGCATTTTGTCTCCCCATCTCATATTTTCATCCACATTCTCCAATTTCCCAACATAGAGACAGCGATGAGGAGAGGATTAAAACGACTCCTTCAGTTGGTGCGTCTGTGTAATTAACAAACTAACTTTGGAGTCGTCCTCCGC